TCACTAGCTGTCAGTTTGAAGGTCTGTCACTTCTTGCACAAAAGAAGTGAGGGGTTCCACTTCCAAAGGGGGAGGGTTGTGGTTGAATTGCCCCCTCCCTGGAACACCCATCCGATATCGATAGAATTGAATTATATTCCCGCGATTGGATTTCCGTGCATGTCCTTGTTAAAAGCGTCCGTACTTTGCTGCTGGCAAAACGAGTTGGCAAATATTAAGTGGAGTAGCGAGCGAGCCATCGCGTCTGTGTTCGGAGACTCTAGTCTGAACTGTTCTGAAGATAGCAATCTCCTGGATATTACGTTTATTATGTTGTAGACTCTAATGAAGGAATGGTTGATGGGAAAGTGATAGTAAGCGCTAACCTTAGGGAGATTCACTTCACGGGAAAATGGCCGAGTGTTGACATAATCAGCGGAAATCAGTGTATCTAGGGATGCCAACTGCCTTACATTTTGTCCATTAAGTTTTAAAAACGTGGCCTATCCCTTTGCTATCTGATTGTCTTTGAGCGGTCTGCTATATTCACACATCAGAAGTAGAAAATCTAGCCCAACTAACACTTCAATTACGCGAGTTAATGCGGACAAAAGTAAGATTGAATGTCAGTCAAGGAACCAAGACGAAGACTCTACTAAAAAACAGGCAATATTACTTGTAGTTTTCTTCATACATTTAATCTTCTTTAACACTTAGATAGCACCATTGTTTCCTCTGCGTTTTGCTCTGAATTTCTATGTAAAATTACTCTTAAATTCTCGTTAGAATTCTGGCAACTCACGGCTTCTCACTCGCCTCCATTGTGGCTCAGACTTGACTAAAAGTCTTTCTTATCCCAACGTTAAGTGACAGGAGAACTGAGAATACAAATTTTATTTATTTTCGATCTTTACGAGTCCCAAAACAATCAAATCGAACTGATATTACAGTTTATTTTATTCTATTTATCTTAAAATCTTTCCCCCAATTTTTTTAAATTAATCACTATATCTTTCTAGTTTTTATATCTTAATAATGATAGTATTATTATAATTATCACTGACTAAAGTGTTACTATTATATTTTTGTTTTGTAAGTCTTTCGGACTTGCGTTGCCGCAAATATATTTGGTGTTTAGGACACTCGTTCTTTGTCTTGACGACCAAATTATCTTTGTGCAATATGGCGTCTTACTGCAAATAAAAAACGACAGTCCTTTCATAAAGGGCGCGATTTTCATTAGGAATTTTGCAGGAACTGAAAATGAAAGCCACTAAGTTAATGCCACGAATCTTCCCTTCCTTCAAAATTGATTCTGAATTCAAGACATAGTTTATGCAATGACTCGTGCACAGCCGCCCAAACTTTCACAATTTTTGTGGTGTTTTTCATAGCGTGAAAACCCTTAAATAATAAAAGTAAAGTCTTGTTTCTAGTTCAGAAAAAGAAACTTGTACAAATTCTGAAGAGATAATTAGCTAAAACCTAGTGTGAGCTGCTTACTTGTACAAATTCTGTGCTTTTGAGCGGGAAAACCTTTTAACAAAAGCGTGATCTTTTTCGCGCCTATCAGAAAAAAAATGTATATATATATATATTAGATTTGGTGCTTTTGAGCGGGAAAACCTTTTAACAAAAGCGTGATCTTTTTCGCGCCTATCAGAAAAAAAATGTATATATATATATATTAGATTTGGTGCTTTTGAGCGGGAAAACCTCCAATAACAACAGCGTGATCTTTTTACCAGTTCTCTATTCTCTGTTTGTCTGTCTGTCTGTCTATCTGTCTTAAGSCCCGTTTACACTAGCGATTTTTGCGGCGATTTTTGCTGCGATTCTTTCGCGATTTTGTCCACAATAAATAATGGTAAAGAATTTACTTGTAAAGTTTTATTCAGGATACCAAGATTTTCCTAGACGAATGTCTCTTTTGAGGGATGAGACAAAAGATTTCATATTTCCGAAATTTGCCACAAAAATCGCCAGTGTAAACGGGGCTATATATCTACATTTTCCAGAGACTATAGCTCAGTATGCTGAATAGAGGCGCCATTTTTCCGTGTATTCATGCTTTATAAGTTTTTACAATGTGAGCACTTTGATCAAGTGGTTGCAAATAAAGGAATGAGTGATAAGCTAATGGCGTTCAAGTGAGACAATATCTCTTATCAGCCAGAATGACAGTGAAACTGGCTTAGATAATGGAAAATGCCAGCTATTCTTTTGTCATATTACACCAAGTAATTACACAATAGCACCTCTCCAACCTCTTCAATCTAGTCATTTTTCTTCATCATTTTTCGAAATAATGGTTATGTAAAACTAATTTTCTAGGAATCAATCATCTATAACGTTAAATATTTTTTTCATCAGTTAGGATTTAGTTTGAAATAGTGTATACCTGCTATTTTTTATTCATTCATTCATTTCATTCTTTTTCCATTTCTCCATTTCTTAAGTTATTTCTTTTTCAAAAAGAGGTTTTTTATTATTTCTATTTCTTTCTTTCTCTCTTTCTTTCTCTCTTTCTCTCTTTCTCTCTTTCTTTCTTTC